ACACATGTACATGATTTTGAGGAGGAAAGACTAAAGGAACAACACTTATCTATGCCTTTCCAGTTAATCATTAAATTAGTATATAAATTTAAAGAACAAAAATCAACTTACTCTTTGCATCAGCTTCACTGCAAACAAATTATTTCTGTGTGTAGGCAGTCCACTGAACATGCTGTTATTTCAAGAGTTCCAGAATAGAGGATAACAGGAGCAGAAATTCTCTTGATAAGCAACCCTTTTTCCTTCAGTCATCAAATTACGTATTGATTGTTTTTCTTTTAACAAAGGGGAGACAACACACACAATGGAATGCTCTCCATTTTACTTTATTTATTTTGAACAAGAAGATTAGGGGCAAGGGTGAAGAATAGATTTCCACTTCCCCATGGAAAGAGCATTCCAAAACAACATGTCCAGATGCAAGTGGCAGAAGATGAAATGGAAAGGAAAAACAGAGGCCTCAGGAAGTTAGTTGGTCTGAAAGCAGAATATAAAGCATCCTTTAAAAAAGGAATATCAGAAAGTCACTTTCATCTTTATAGCCCTACCAATCACTAAAGCAGAAACCAAGACAGGAGCTAAATGCCATATTTATTTAGTATATTTCTATGCCACCTCTTCAGAGTCCTGCTCATGGTAGTTTACAATTAAAATGTAACTATGTGAAAACACCACTAAGAACAACCCATTGGACATAAGCAACATAAAACGATTCATAAAACAGAAGCAGACCATTAAAAGGCTGGTGAGATAAAACCCCTAATTAAAAGCCTGAGTAAAAAGAAGCAGGGCATTCCAGAGGCAAAGTGCCAGCACAGAAAATAACCTGCCTCTAGTTGCCACCTGCCTCGCTTTTGAAGGAGGGGACATAGAGTAGGGCTTGGGGTGTGGATCTCAGCTGGCAGACTGGGTGATGTGGGTGGGAACAGTCCTTCATCTACACCTTGGCCCCAAGCCATTAAAGCACTTTGAACTGTGCCCAGAAACAGATGGGTTGCAGATCTTTCATGCCAGAGAATACAGTCCCTGTAACCGACCCCTGGCTGCATTTTGGACCTATCACAGCATGAATCACTGTAGCCAGATCATGCTTTTCAGGATCCCATATAACCCCCAAGCTACAAATACGTTCCTGCAGAAGGACTTCCACCCTGTCCAGGACAGGTTGACTATGTAATGTTCATTAACTGACAGCACCTCAGTCTTGTCTGGATTGAGCTTCAGTTTATTGGCCCCCATCCATTACATTACCTTCTCATATAAATGGATTCAGCACACTTACTACCAGGAAACTGAATGGTTTTCGGTCTCTAAAACAAGTGGCTGGAAATCCCTCTTATCATCTAAAAGTTTTGAGAAGCATCCATAGCTGAGAGTCGGGGTGCCCACCATTGGTTTGCATCCAACAAGGATCATGGCTCTGTCCTGCATTTCTTCTCCCCAGCAGTCCTTTCTAAAGCTGGAAAACTTTATTCCCAGGGTTGCAGTAGAGGTGATTTTACCCCCTTCCCACTACAGACTCCTGACCTATTAGAGTCCATACGGGTCCCAAGGAATTAGTGTTCCCATGAGATGGAAAGGATTGCAGAGGAGAGGTACATGGGAAAGATCTGTATGCATGCATACAGTTGACAAACCACTTGGTGAATCTACTTTCTCTGCGTGTGCGTGTGTGTTAGGAAACAGTTAAGTTCAAATATGAAAATCTGATCAGAATAACAGATCAAAGAGGTTTCACAGGGGTACAAGAATGGTAAATCCAGCCTCACAAACCACAGCTGATGGAAATATGTGGGTAGAATGAACAACAGAAGGATTTGCTTTGGGTTGGCATCTAGGCCTCTGCTACAAAACATCTGCATACTCTTTCCCTACCAAACAATTGTCCTTGCCCATAGATTTGTAAGCTATGTAAAGTGCTCCACTAAAGCTTGAGGAGGAAAACTTCTGTCCTTAAAAAGTTTTACTAAAATCTCAGAATACAGCAAGGTATATCTGGAGTTACAGATTTGATATTAGATACACAGTAAGACCCACTAGATTTCAGGCACGTTTTTCGTCAAATAGTAATTTTCATTCATTTCTTGCCACTCTTTGTGGATTACCTCTCAGACCTATTGCTCAGCAAAATGCTTGAGTACTATGAAGGCAACATTCAGTTACTCATCATAAAAATAACCCCTTCCCTCGATATTAGTGCTAGGAAGTCTAGACCCTTTTCATGGAGGACTTTAAACGGTTTGCATGAATTGTGCTGAAAAGCCATAGTTTCACAGCATGAACACGGATTCTAGTTTTACAGCCAATTTAACCTCTCATTAGTCAGACAGGAATAAAAGAAAACTTCTACCACAGACATAAGCATTTTCAAAGCAGTTAGTGGAGCTCCACTTGAATGCAATCCAGCCACAACTTCTACTGCTGCTATCCAGAGCTTATTTTCATGACCAGGTCATCAGGTGTCAAGAATGCTACTCCTATGATGACTTCCCGCTGCTTCAATCCATGGCAAATACATCAAGCTAATTATTGTCATGGACTGAATGTCACATGTCATTGCAAGCTACCCTAAATGGGAAAGAACGTAATCATTTTCTAATATCTAGTACTTGGTCACACCACTGAAAGATGGGAGTTAGCAGCAATATGAGCCGAGGCTTGGCTCAGCGGCCATTCTCAGTATGATTAATGGGAGGAGCTGGTGGCAAATGGAAGCTTGCTGAAGTAGTGCCTGGAGAAAACCAAGCTACCAGCACTGCCATAGACTGAACTGTCATCATGGATGCCTTGAACAGAGATCAGCTTCATTAGGTAAAGCTACATAGGTTAAGAACTCAGCACCTGGAATGCAAATTTCCCTTTCACCAAAATCTTCAAGACAGCTGTTAAGGAATGAGATTGATATTTGAGTTATGGACTATGTTTATTGCTACACTATGGACTGTGCACACATACACATAGGCTCAGAAAGCTGTACAAGTCACCTGTTGTGATACTACACATAGAAGGTGCCTGCATAAGCCTTAACACAGGAATGAGGTTTCAGCTACCAGCCTGGTGAGGAAGCACACATCCCCATTATTGTCAGCAAAACAACAACTTGAGAAGAAGCAGCCCCCATTGCTGAATTGTTTGTGGTCACACACTCCACATCTCTGCTTTGTTTCTACATTGGCATTTCCTGCCAGATGGACCTTTGATGACCAGAGGAATGGCCAGGCTTCAGTGCACTTCAATGAAACACTCTGATGCCAAGTTTTCACACTTGCCCAGATGCCATCCTTTGAGTTAGGTCTTAGGTTACAATATTGTCCAACCCTCTAGGTAACATCCCACTCCTATAGGTAACCAATAAGATTAGTTTTGGGATGGACTAACAGGTAGGTGGGTCCACAGGTTGGCACAGTTGCCACCCACCCAAAAGACCACCTATAAAAGGTAAGGACCATTCACCTGGCCCTTCCTAGCTAGCATCCCCCGCAACAACCCCTGTCTGCTTTATACTCCCCTTTTGTCCAGCTTGCTATACCCAAACCCTTGCCTCTACTTTGATCTCTTGATCTGCAGTCAAGAGACCCACACGTGCTGGCTGGTACTAGTCGTGTGTTTGAACTCCCTAGATTTCTATTTCTTCCCATCCATTCTTCATTGGAACAACCAAGCTGAGAAGACAGATAAGTATCACCCATCATCACCCCCACCTGCTAGTGCAAACATGCTTATTTTAATACTGTATTTCTAAGGAGCTTGATTGAATGTATGAGCGCATCTGTATTGTTTGTATGTGATTTATTCTTTAAGTAAAAGGCATTTATTTTAACACCACCAGCCTCGACTCCTTCTCTGGTAACCTTGGTGGGAACAGGACCTTGGTATAGTTGGCAAGCACCCAGATTTAAATTGCCAATTGCTGTAAATAAAGCAATTCGGCTAACACAGCTTCATATTTATCTTCAACCTTTGCTGCACTACAGCCATGCTCTGCCCACCCGGTGAGCTCCATTAAAGCAGTTCTTACATCAATTCCCTGGCAGCATTTCTCTAGTGAACCCTTATTTTGGCTGGCAAGATCAAGCAAATGGATTAGAAACCAGATAATTGAAAGCAGCTTAAGAAGCTCCTACCAGTAGCAATATGATGCATATAAATAAATAAATATAGACCACTAACTCCCCACAGCAAAGTACCCCAATTAGAAAAACAGGCCAGAACACATAACTGGGCACATACCTGATTTATCCAGAACTTTAGCTATTCAAGTATTAGTAACAATGGGTTACTATACAAATCCAATACTAAAAATGTGTTACAGCCATCCTCTCTACCCTAGAAGGCTAGATAATTTCCCAGAGCACCTAGACTACAAATACTAACACAAGCAGGGCTTTTTTGTTGGGGTTCTCACGGGTACTGAGCACTGGCACCTTGGGAGGGGAGGCTCTCCCAAGTCCTGAGGGGGGGGGGATTGGTGGAAATCAGAGCAACCTTAGATATGAGTATGGACACTTTTTAAAACAAAAAACAAAAAAGCACTGCTAACAAGCACAATTAAAAATAACTTCTAAAACATTCTGAAGTATGCAGAGTCTTTATCTCAAAACACTGCCACAAGTATAACGTGGTTGTTCAATCATTCCTGTTTAGCAGACGGGGAATGTTAACCCAGCGTCCCAGGCAGTCTACCAGGCACAGCCCACAGGCTCCCAGTGTCTTCAGCCACAGTAGCTAAGTGCCGTTGTCATCATGGCCAGACCTCACTTACCTTTACCACAGCACATTAAAATGCATTTGATTTCCTGTGTTACATGTACCTGGGATCACCCAATATCAGGGCACTGCAGGCATGGCAGTCCAAAAGTACTACGACATATTAAAGGCAGACAAAGAGAAGTTGATACTTTTAAAATAAGTTCGTCCCCACTCAAATGACTACAAAAAAGAGTAAATCTTACAGTTTTCTGTTTGATTACTTTGCTGTAATGTGTAGCAAGTGCTCTTACCCTGAAAGGTAGCTCGGGTTTCTCCTTTTGTGGAACCTCATCCAGAATGCTGTCCGTACTGCTCCTTTTCACATTTGCTGCAACATCAGGCACGTTGCTGAAATCTACATGTAAAATTGGGGGGGGGGAGGCACCAGAGAATTTGCAGTCAGAAGTAGAAAGATGTCTTACACCTCTTTCATAAATGCTCTTTGGAAGGGGGGGGGGAATCCAGTACTGTGTTGATGATTTGCTGTTTTGTTTTTTAAAATTAAGGCAGTTGGTCTAAAACAATTTCTATGAAGTAATGCACATATTTTATCTGCTGGATAAAACCTTTCCTTTCTTGAGTCATACTGTAGCATCATCTGTCGACATTGTAGCACAGTTTGTGCCAGCTGAAAGGAGCAACCAATCAAAATGATTACATATATCAAGCAACTCTCTTGGACAAACACAATGTTCTATGGCATGACATGGTTGTTAAATTCATTAGTGGGCCAAAAAGGTAAAAGCATCTCTGCTCCTCCTTATGATACTTTCTCATAAATCAGCAGCTTGGATAAATGATGAGAATTCATACACAGAGACTCTGCAATGGGTAAGCTTTCATTTTGCCAGTAACAGACACAGAACACACTATCCACATAAATGACTAGGGAAAGTTTCAAGTTGTTTTTAAAAGAACTCACCCAAGTGCTAGCGACAGAATGCCTGTCTGATGCAGGCAATTCTAAAGGTTGTTCTGTGGTGCTCTCCCAAGTTTCTGTCAGAGTACTAGCTGGAACTATTGGGCTTATTTTCATGTCTTGTGAACAGAGCATGCACTAGGATATACCCCTCACGTTTGTTCAGGTAAACATACAAATTGGTGAGAGAGAGTTCAGAACTCAAGCACCTTGCCCGCTACTGCAGACACTGTTATCTATAGAACAAAAACAACAAGCCTAGGTCACAAGAAGCCAGGCTTCTGTTGGTTTCTAAGCAATCAAGATACTGTGCTGCATTGTGACCAGTGTTTCTGTGGAGGATATGAGGACTTCTGCTCATGAAGCATGATTTTTTAACCTCCCCCTCCTCCAGAAACAGGATGTCGGGGAACATTTCAGGCTCCTGTGGAAGGGGGCAGTTGGAAAAACAGTGCTCTGTGAGTGGAAGTCCTTTCTCCCACAAGAACACTAGTTGCAATCGAAACCACTGATAGTACATTTTCAAACTCTTATCTCAAAAGCTATGAGGTTGGTTGGTCAGGGTCACATGTACATTTGGTACAGCTGTATGCACATATTAACAAAAGCACAAGACATTCAAGAAGAATTTCAAACTATCATCATAACTAATTACAAATACTAACAAAGGATAGGGTCAGCTACATCGCTAAAAATTGTTTCTAAAATAATTGTATATTTAAATTATTTCCCATCTCCAAAACTAAAGCTTACATACATGCATCAACTCTTCTCTCTAAAAAGTTGACAAGCTTTTCTCATTCCATTTGTAAAATTTACAGTCTAGATACTGCTGCAGTTTTAATATGTTCTCCTATATGATCTAGATTAATCATTTTAATTTTTTTCTACCATATTCCAAGTTGGGGAAATATGTTCAAATATATATCACCCAATAAATAACTAGTAAAACACTGAACCTGTTTAGAAGCTAAGCTACTTCATCCTGGCCCCATTTAAGTTTCTAGATGCTTCATAGGTAAATGCTTAATCTGTGTCCCCCCCAAAAAAAAAAGATGGGTTATAACAGGGACAGCGACCAAAGTCAGTTTATTTGGTTGAATTCTCTATGACTCCATTTCCATTTGTTATTAGTTGTACCTTCAAGATTATACCAATAAAAGATAACTTCAATGCATTAGAGTTCTGCACCTTCAAGTGGACTTCCTTTCTATGGAACTACACAGATGGTTAAAATGCAGTGAATCCATACTCATTATCTTGCCTTACTTTGTCAGCCAGCAAAAGGTACTGAGGAATTATGAAGCACCCATTAGAACAGACAACCACAGTGAGTGATGCAGGGACTCAGCCCTTTACTGTACTCAGATCAGTAGGCACCAATGTTTTGATACGGTTCTGCCTTAATTACATTATTAATATGATGTTGTGTTGCACTGGCAGGCAGATATATGACTCACCATCATTCAAGAGAAGTGATAGTACAGCCTCTAAAATCAAAACAGAACATGCAAGCTAAGCTACTTCATCCTGGCCCCATTGAAGTTTCTAGATGGTCTTCATAGGTAAATGCTTTATCTGTGTTTCCCCCCGCCCCAAAGATGGGTTATAACAGAGACAGCAACCAAAGTCAGTTTATTTGGTTAAATTCTCTATGACTCCATTTCCATTTGTTATTAGTTGTACCTTCAAGATTATACCAATAAAAGATAACTTCAATGCATTAGAGTTCTGCACCTTCAAGTGGACTTCCTTTCTATGGAACTACACAGATGGTTAAAATGCAGTGAATCCATACTCATTATCTTGCCTTACTTTGTCAGCCAGCAAAAGGTACTGAGGAATTATGAAGCACCCATTAGAACAGACAACCACAGTGAGTGATGCAGGGACTCAGCCCTTTACTGTACTCAGATCAGTAGGCACCAATGTTTTATTAATATGATGTTGTGTTGCACTGGCAGGCAGATATATGACTCACCATCATTCAAGAGAAGTGATAGTACAGCCTCTAAAATAAAAACAGAACATGCTTCCTGAGCCAGTTCCTCATGTCAATTATTCAGTTAAAGCAGAGTAGACCGCGCACAGATGGGCTACAGAGTCCAAAGATTCATCAGACAGAAGGAAATGCGAGTCTCCAGACCATGCAAGAAGCAAGTCCATGCAAAAGTTATTTGACCATGTGAAAAGTTATAAAACAAATGCCATGCATATTCTGCAGTGGTTTTCAGTATTATTATTAAGAACATGGAAACCAAAAGAGGGGACAAAGCTAAATAAATGCATCTGTCACTCATGGAAGAAGCAAGGAAGAGACACAGATGGAAATGTTACATGCTGCCTTAACCAATTTAATTAATGAAGGCTTAATTGCATTCTAATCAGCGCCGTTCATACCAATTCATCCTTCTCCCCACAAATGAAGGGGAAATTACAGTGAAGGAGGAATAGAGAACTTGATTTTAAATCTGCCTGCTAGGATTTCTTCCCACCCATCATAGTTTAGCAGTTCTATTTTGAACCATCACCAATTTGAACAAGTGTTTTATTGCTCATCAAGTCTTATCAAATGTCAAGAGTAGGGTAGGTGGTAAAGACTCCCTCTGTTGCAAGCCAGAAGGAGGAGATGTGTTTTACCTTCTATCCTATTGACAGTAATATAGGAGTGGGGGGGCGGGGGATGGAGAACTAAAAATAAACACAGATGGCACAGCAAAATCAGATGAACCCAATCTCTTACAAACTTAGAGAGCTGCATATGAGATTTGTTCTGATGTCTAGGTCATGCCTGTGAGCAGGGCTCTTTTTGTAGAAAAAGCCCAGCAGGAACTCATTAGCATAATGGGCCACACCCAACAGCAGGAACTCATTAGCCTATTGGGCCACACCCCTGACAGCACAGCTCATTAGCACATTAGGCCGCACCCACGTGTTACCAGAAGTGTGGTTATCCAGCCACACCCACCTTTTGCTTGTTATTCTGTTTACCTTGTTTGTTGTCAAAACCCAGAGCCTTTTTTTGTAGCAGGAACTCCTTTGCATGTTAGGCCACACACCCCTAATGTAGCCAATCCTAATGAGTTTCTGCTGTTGGGTGTGGCCTATTATGCTAATGAGTTCCTGCTGGGCGTGGCCAACTCGGGAGCCAGCCGGAACTCCGTTCCTGTGCGTTCCTG